CTGCACTCATCTCATACTCCAAACTCCTTGGCTTCATCCCTGAGCCTCCTCCAGTATCCCAAACTACTCATCTCCAACCCTACAACAGAACCCACACTCCCCCTTCTGCACCCCAGCCCAGAATCCACATTCCAAAACTCTTGGTCCCTGCCCAGAGGCCCCTCATCTCCAACCTCACCTTAGAGCCCACAAACCTAGCTGGAACCTTCATCCCTTTTCACACTCCAATTCCTAGCTAGGGATGTTAATGGTTCCAGTTAACCAGTAAGCATACTGGTGAGCATGAGACTTACCAATATGCTTATGGGTTAACTAGCCCTTGCCGGTTAACTTTGCTGTTGGGGTGGCCGGACGTACTGGGCTGGAGCAGCCTTGGCCATCGTGGGCTAGATGATGGGACCCCCGTGGCTGCGGAGGGGACAGATAGCAATCCTTAAGTTAAAGCATTTAACTGGTGAAGTGCTGTCTAACTGGTTAACCTTTTTAACATCTCTAGCCCCACCCTAGTAAAAGTGAGTCAAGTTGGGAAGAACATGGGAAGGAGGAGGAGGGGTGGAGTGAGTTGGAGCAGGGCCTGGGAGAAAAGCAAGGATGTTCAGTTTTGTGCTATTAGAAATTGCTAACCTATTCTACAGCCTAGCCCTCAGTACTATCTCCCAATGCCCATTGGTCTCTTACCAAAACTGCCTATAGCTGAGCAGTGCAGCATGCCCTGCCCATTTACTGCTGTGATCATAGTGTTGATGTAACAGCTGCTCTTTATTCAGGATAAATGTAAAAAAACAATTAAGCTCCTTCATGGAATAGACATTTGAAACAGGAGCCATTTGAAGGTTAGAATAGGTGTTGAGCCTTGAAGTTTAAATGGTTTTCCTTGAGATCTGAATGCAAACACAAAGGGGGCTGCATATAGTTAGACAGATCTTTGTGCAAGAAGGAGAGAGAGAAGGGTCAGAAATAGGGATGTTAGAGTTTAACCAACTAACCATTTGACCAATAAGCTGATTCTTACTGATTAATGGTCTCCATTAAATTCAACTGGTTCCCAGGGATGTAGCTTCCCTGTGGCAGGACAGCAAAGCCTCCTTCCCAGAAGCCAAGTAGGCAAAAGCTGCCTGCTCCTCTTTCAGGGAGGTGGTTTCTTGTGGGCTCTGCAGTATAAAACTATGCTTTACATTGCAGAGCTTGCATCATGTGTAACTACTAAGATTTTTAGCGGTTACACAGTTACAATATTGAACAGCTTTTAACATCCCTAGTCAGAAATACCATGAAAACCCCCAAACAAAGCAGCAAGGAAGCCCAAAAGACAGCCAGAGAAGCACTTGCAGCATGACCCTTAGAACAAACTCAGAGTTTTTTTATTAAAGTTCTGGCTAAGAAAAGATTTGGAGCTGTGAGCAAAAACAGTTTCCTGTAGTTTCATTCCAAACATTGAGGAAAACAGTACGTTATGTACATGTTTTCTTGGTAAATAATGCCTGATTTCATCATCAATTTCTGTTCCTAATGGAAACAACTTGCAGCTTCCTGAATATTGGCTAAAGAGGGTAGCATTGTGTTAAACTGATGGGGGAGGAGGGCTGAGGGAGTAACCCATTCTATTTCTGAAAGAAGTCTAGTCAAGGAAGCTAGTATTCAGCACTAAGAAGTGTCAATTTAATCTCCATGGAAATATGTACCATATGTTTTTTTTCCAGTGATGCTACCATTTAACTTAAAGACTATGGGCCAAATTTAATGGTGAAGTAAATCTTAGAGGTTACACATGATGCAAGCTCTGCAATGTAAAGCTTAGCTTTACTTCCACATTTCTGAGTAAGTAAATATGGCACTTAAGTGTAACCTTCAAACTGTGGGGATGGAGAAATCATACAATAGTAGTTAGACAGAACTACTGAGGGCAGTGCTTTGTGTTTTCTGGGGGGAGGTTTCACCCTCCTGCTTTTTCCAGCTATCACTACAGATGTATTACCACTTATTTGCAGTCACATAGGCTATGTCTAGACTGCAGGCTTCTTTCGAAAGAGGCTCTTTCGAAAGCATCTTTCGAAAGAGCCTCTTTCAAAAGATCGCGTCTAGACTGCAGGCGGATCTTTCGAAAGAGAAATCCGCTTTTTCAAAAGAGAGCACCCAGCGAGTCTGGATGCTCTCTTTCGAAGACGGCCTCTTTACATTGAAGAACGCCTTCTTTCGAAAGAGGGACTTTCGAAAGAAGGCGTTCTTCCTCGTGAAACGAGGTTTACCGCCATCGAAAGAAAAGCCGCGTTCTTTCGAAATAATTTCGAAAGAACGCGGCTTGAGTCTGGACGCAGGGGAAGTTTTTTCGGGAAAAGGCTACTTTTCCCAAAAAAACCCCTGAGTCTGGACACGGCCATATTAACATAACTTAAACCACTTTAGCACATTATCAGTTTCTACTGAGTTTGTGCACTTGGGAAGCATTTTAATTTCAGTTCAGCAGCAGTGAGAGCTGGTCTGCACGCACTGTGCACCAGCAAGCCTGCCTTAAGTTGATGTTTTCTAACTGATTTCATAACTGAATTGCTGCAACCCCCCTCTATGCAAAGCAGTTTCAGAGTCTCCACACAATCCCCATTTAAAGTAGATTCTTCATAAATCATTACTTACCATATGCATAGATCAGCACTAAAAAGGAACAGTAATACTGTATTAAGACTTTGGGAGCCATATGACCCTGCAGTAAGCACAAAGAATGCTGTTTTTCATAAATATGACTCTAAAATACCATATGGAGTATTAAGAGTTAATTACTCTATTTAGCTACTTAAAAAGTGTATCTGATTGATGGGTACTTTCAGTCACATATGAAGGACTTCGACTTTCTACTCATCCTCTTGAATGACAGGGTAGCATATATATGACTCAAAATGAGACCTTGTACAAGCTGAAGCAGGGTTCCCAAACTATGGGGTTTGCCTGCCAAGGAAGGCATGGATATGTGTCAAGGGAAGCATGGATGGTGGGTTTTTTCCTCCCTTCTTTTTTGGCTGTCAGCTCTAGGTATCATGCAGAGGAGTCAATACTACCTGGGAGATGAGAATAAAGTGGAAAGCCAGAACATCCGTCCCCCCCAGGCCGGGGCTGACAGCTGGAGTTCTGCCACGTGGGCATGGTCTTTCCTTCCGACCTCATCTTCCAAGTCCCTCAGTGGGAAGCTGCCTGGGC